TGATTTGCTACGGTAACATGGCTAAATTTTCATGTTACAAGTTTCTTTTAACTCAAATACATCTTATGAAGCAATACCCAGTCACTCCTGATTTGCTTCAAGCCCCAAATCTCACTGTGAATCCTTTTAATGGTATTGTTCTTAAAAGGCCGAGCTGTCGAAAACAAATGTTACCAAACTGACAGATTTATGAGCATAACTCAATGTAGATCAATGTAATATCTACAGAATCTGAAGCAAGCATAATAATAAAAAAAGATTTAAAAAAAAAAATCATTTTATATAAACACCAAGCAGAACTTGCTCTCTGTTTTTTATTAAGGAGGTAAAATCAGGGGGAGTAAATCCTGGACGCCATGAGGAGACGGTGGGCAAAGCTTAACTCAGTGGATTTCTTGGCTCAGGATGACTGCCTCCTGCCAATATAGCAAAGTATTTCGAGCTGAGGACCACTACAGGAGGGAGTTCACTTTTTGATCCCTCTTCCTCCTCCTGTGATGAGTTCTCTGAAGTGAGGATTGAAGTACACAACACCAAAGACAGAATAGATTTGACAGGATTCGGGACTTTAATCTGCAGCCATAGGTCATCTTAGATGGAGCAGTCAATGCAAAGAGGAGCAAAAACAAATAATGACAACTACTCATGCCATCGAGACTGTAAGAAGCATGCAACCATAAAAGAATCACAAATTGTTTAATTGAAAAAAAAAAAAAGAACAAAAAAAGTGCTCAAAGACCTGGATGTGACAGAGTGGGCATGGTGTACAAGCATTTGAATACCCTAGTTTTTAGTAACTATGACCTAATATTTACGAATATTTATTTTGCAGTTACATTACAACACAGTTTTAGTCCATGTGTTAGATGTATGATTTAACATAGATGCTCTGGGACCTTTCTTAAAATCTCTCTTTAAAAACTAGAAAGACAAAAGAACATGATTTTTATTTGGATCTTCTCACTTCAGGCTATTTCTATTAAAAACAGCTACGCACCCATTATTTGATCTCTCAACCTCCAGTCAGTTTTTTTTTCCAAGTCTGGAACTATGAAAAACAAGCCTTCTGAGATACATTGACACCATGCTTAACAAGCAAAATGGTAAAGAAATCAAATACATTTTTAAAGCTAACTGCCTGAGAACTACAGGAAAGAATGGATTCAACAATGACCATAAAGACTAACTGCAAGCCAGCTGTTTGGCTGAAAGAAATAAAAGAACTGAGACATTAACTAAAAGTTCCTTCTTAGATCAGATGGGGTTAATCTTTTAAATACCAGGATGATTTATATAAAAACATGGTGCCCTTTGCTAAAAAACTAAAAAAAAAAAAGATTTCTTAATATGGGTCTTTAATAATGTGAAATATGAGATAAATTAACTGATAGAGAAAGGTTTCACCAGACATAAAACCACCCTTATTTTTTTTTACTAACAATTTTAGTAATTCTTATCCAAGGGCTGTACTTAGGTGTGAAAGACGATGTATGCAAGAGACCATTTCCTGTGTCTGTGTGCTGGTTCCGAGACAGACTTACGGTATGTTCTGTCCCAGGTGTTCCCATGCTCACCTCATTGTCTGCTAAAACAAGCTTCTTTGATTCTGAACAGGATTAAATGGGAGCACAGAGTGAGTGAAGAATGAAGTTCTCACACAGTTTTCTTCTGGGAAAATTCAAGAAATCACATATCAAAAGAAGGGCCCTTGTTAGTATGTGGTAAAGTTATCCGATCTGCTCAGAGAACACAAACAACCCACACTTCTAATAAGCACCATGATCATTTCAGCCCCTATCAAACCATTGCAGAAACAATACACCACTTGAGTTAAATTTGCAATGCACTCGGTTCATCGAACAGAAAAAGAGAAATACTGATTCCTACAAAAATGCTAATGTAATCAAATCAGATCTAACTGGGTGCAGTGCAGACCACTGAGCCAATCCGTCTTTGCTTTAGTACCTCCATCACTGGAGCTAAAGTTACTTGAACAAATGAAACTCTTCCCTGTATCCCACCAAAGCCTCAAATTTACACTGTCAGTCAACCCTGTGAACATCACCTAGCTGGTCTACCTTAAATGTGAGATCTTGCTAATTTTAGCAATAAACACAGAAACCTATAGGAATAGACTGAGACTCTGCACTGCCATCAGAGCGTCACCGCAAGCAAGCCTGTTATCTGTTGCCAGACTTTAACCCCTGCCGCAGTGGCAGCTTTAAACAAACAAAGCCATGTTTTATTTCAGTGCTCAAAACTTTTTTTCTTTTTTTTTTCTTTTTTTTTTTTTAACTAAAAAGTGTAAATAATCCCAACAGATATACACAAACACCTTTCAAAAAGAGTGCCATTTCCTGCGGAGTCAAAAATATACCTTTCAGTAGCCTGTCATGCAGAGATGAGGAGGGGATGGAATAGATATTATCCCTCCTGAATCGTATAAAATTATCACAGCTGGCCTCAGTGAAAAGAACGACACTGACTGCATCAAGCCAAGGTTCAAAATGCCTAAGTGTCTCTTTATTTATTCACACACTTCAGAGATTTTTATCTGAAGGCATTCTTTCTACCATTACAAAAACAGTGTTTTTAAGCTGTTTAACATCTTCTATGCAAATCTCGTCAAAACATATTAAAGACATTGTTGAAAAGCTTTGAAAAGTCTATATATTATATAAAAGTCTTATAAGCTTATATATTGCAAGTCATGTGTCTTAGGGTCAGATCCAAGTCATGGCTTAGTTTTTTAAGAACAAATATATGCATCAAGTCCTTCAGTTAAAAGTTTAAATGAAGGCTTACTGTAAATGGTTGAGTGACAAGTGCATAACACGGCTCAAGTCATGAGTTAGATGTTTAAGAGGAAATTTAGCTCACAGGTCTTTCAACACAAGACCAATTTAGGGCATTGATCAGGTCTCATCGATCAAGTCTTTCATGCCAAGTGATAATGAAGTCTCACGTCACAAGTCCTGTTTTAAAGGGCAAGTTTAAATAAGGTTCTGGAGGGATACGTAAAAGTCAAGCCTCAAATCTTTAACGGAAATTCCAAGTTAGGTCATAATCACTACACCTGTTAAAGTGGATTTATCTACAGCTCTGGTCGAAAAAGAGAGACAAATTATCAAAAGCCTTTTGTGAGTAAATGTTCATGTGTCTTCCTTCTCTGCCTCCTGGGTTTCCCTGCTCTCATTTTCCCATAATGGGTATTCTCCTGGGTTCTGATCAATTCAATTCAATTCAATTCAGTTTATTTATATAGAGCCAAATTCACAACACATGTCATCTGAAGGCACTTTACAGTTCAACCAGATCATACAGTCAAATTGATCTAGAGTTTTCTATCTAAGGAAAACAAGTTGATTGCATTGACTCATTGACTCAAATACATTCCCTCACACTAAGCATGCTTGTAGCGACAGTGGAGAGGAAAAACTCCCTTTTAACAGGAAGAAACCTCCAGCAGAACCAGGCTCAGTGTGAGCGGCCATCTGCTGAGGGCGACTGGGGTTCAAGGAGACAGAAGCAGAGATACAAAAAGCAGCTGTGAAGGCGGCCCCGTCCAGTATTTCCTGGACGGGGCTGATCACTGGTCATCAACCTTGTTTCTGCTTCCTGACTACCGTCTCCTGCATAACCCCTGGATCTGTTCGCATGAACCTTCCTCCTGGTGTTCCACCTTGTTTCATTTCACCATGTAAGCCCAAGTTACAGTAAAACCAGAATGTCAGATCCTGTAGGCTGTTTCTCCTTTAAAGGTTTCACATAAGTTTCTGTCTTATGGTGACAGATTCCTAACAACCTGATATACTGAGGAGCAAAAATCCAGCATCTGCTTTCTCCCATAGAAATGGAGAAGTGGTTCCTGATCTCGCTGCTGGTGACTTCCTGCCTATTTATAAACACAAACAATTGAATGTTCATCTTTTGTGTCCGGCTAAACGTTTGAGTTCTCTTTGTTATCCTTTACCCCAAATGCAACCCTAGATTTATTATCATATATATCAATAGTACAGCAAATTGATGGTGCTTAAAGGTATCTATGAGAGTTAAGTTGTTAAATAAGGAAACCGGAGCAGTTTTAAGTGAGGATCCTCAGACTTGATACTTCACCAGTGGCTTAATCTAATTTTTTATTTATCTCCACAATAGTGGAAAGTACAAAGTGTTTTTGTACAAAAAAAAAATGGCACCTAAATAAATGCCAAGATCCTTGGCTATGGAGCTCTTGCACGCTGCCTCTTGAGGCTCAAACTTGAAACATCTATTTAAGGCTTTGTAGTTGACACTTGCTTAAAAACAAAAAAAAACCCTATTTGGAGTTCAATCATAGTAGTAAAATTAAAGTCAATCAAACCAGAATGAATAACAATGCAAGAAGTTACTAAAATACGAGGTTATTCAATTTTTTTGATTAGATGGACATGAGTTTGGTCTTTGGTGTGGCATACACTAACATCCCCTAAGTTATGAATCACTAATTAAACTACTCAAAATCAGCTACGTGTTTGGAGGCACCCTGCTCTGCGTTGATATTATTTTGAAATAACTTAAAGGTAAGGTGATTAGATGTATATTAAAGGTATACCGGAGGATTATCACTCATTTAAAAGCCCTCTCCACTTAAAAAAAAAAAAGCACATGCACAACCCTATACCCGCTCCTGCGAGGGAACATATATTAAACACATGCGAGAGCGTGCACAAGCCCATTTATCATCTTGCACACTCTGTTTACAAGTTGCTGTTTGCATCGCTCATACAAGCTTACTTTCCAAAAGAAGATTTACAATTTTTCCACTATGTCAGACTGACCACTGGTAACGCTTTGCAGACACTTTTTCTCTCACGACCCTCTGCCATTTTCGAAGAATCGCGGTGAGACAGGCGAGCTTCAATGACTGGCTGAAACCGTTTGTCACCACACATATATGCCTGAAAGTGACGCTGACATGATTCTAGAGTAGACTCTGGCGCAGACACAATACGAGTCAGGAAGCGGTTTAGAATGTTTATTGAGAAGTTTAACAGAGAGATTGTTTGGACCGGCGTAGAGGTTCGGGAAACAGCGGCTTAGTCAGGAACTGCACGGGGAGAGAGATCAGTTAGATTCAGGCTGGGGAACTGAGTAATTAAGAAAAGATGCTAACTCCTTACAGATCCTTGGAGAGCGGAGCAGATGGAGGGGAGGTTGGATGAGCCCACAGAGATTGAGTTTGGCTGAGGTGCCAGGCTTTGGCTTGAGAGCTCCAGAGGGTGGACAGGCAGGTGAGCAATCAAGGATGGATCCAGGAGGACTGAGTGGAGAACCGGCTTGGAGACTGCAAGGCTTCTAGGAGAGAAGGAGGACAAGGAGGTAAGCTTGAGTCTAAGCACAAAGTTCTGTCTTAGGAGAGCAGGTAAGTTACCACTGTGTGGAAATTAACCGACTGGCGTCCGTCCCAGGAAATCCACTCCTCTAAATACTGCTCCCTGATTGCGTCCAATTGGAACCAGCTGGAGGCTTTTCTGGGCTGGAGACTCTGAGGAGGAAAGGTAAGAGAAACCCTAACACAGCTCAGCAAACAATCCTGTGGGCCCAACAGACGCAGAAAAGGATAGCTAACTGGGGATGAGCATGTCAACAGCCTTACGTAAACATTTCACCAGAATAATTGAGAATTAGGAGGACCACCTTATTAGGTGATCCACCCGGAAAAATAACATCCTCCTCTATACCTTTAAGTAACTAACAGGCCATCTGGATAATTGTATTGACAGAATATAACAGACAAAGCAACAATACTCTAAGTCAGTCAAATATAACTAAAGTAGATAAATCGTGACATTAGAGGTTAATTGTATTTTTTTTTTACGCTACTTATCTGAAGGCATGGGTTAACCCATGCCTTCAGATAAGTAGCTTACTTGCTACTTTGATTACATTATATTGTTAATGAGACTTATGTCTTGAGAACTCAAGTGTAATTTAGTCTGAAGTGTTTGGTTTTGTCTGAGTGCCATTCAGAAGCAAGTTTTCGACTTGAGTCTCCATCTCTATTTTTTGCCACCTATATTCACATCCATTGCAGCAAACTGGAGTTTTGATTACATAATACAGAACTGTTTGTTAAGGTATAATTTCCAATATAAAAAATTCCTGCCCTCACAATTGAAAATAACCCAAGAGGTTATAAAGAGAAAAAAAGCACAATTTGAACTGTTTTATTGTGAGAAATAATCAAAAGCTAGAAAATGTGGCACCTGTTTTCTGCGGTTGCTTTGTAATGAATGAAGCCAACCATAACTCAGTCCATGCTGCTATGCTTTCCCTGCCAAACGAGTGGGTTTCTCTAACAGGTGTTGCTGTTCATCAAGCAGACTGGAAATACCTTTTCACGTTGTGTTTTGGAAGGCAGTACAATAAAAATAGATGTGCAAGGAAAGCAGGCATGTGGTTGGTTCATGCAAATGATCAGCCTCTAACCAGGTAGGTGCAAAAATAGTGAGTTTTTTTTCTGTTTAACATCTTTAAGTAATGAACCTAAGGATGTTCTTTCCATTTTCTGTGGATAAGCAGTCCTAATGATGCCTGCTGATAAATGGTTGAATGTTAAGCATTCATCAATTGTTCTATATTTTTTTAAAATTCTTCCTTGCAACCCTGAACTCATTATTGTCAGAAGTTCTAAACCCTGTTGCTTGTGTTTACTTAAATCTTTTCAACGTCAGCTGAAGCCTTTCAATGAGAAGAGCAGTGGTTCTGCTAAGTGCACCTCTGGAATGACAGACACCTACTTTTTTAAAGGCAGAGCCCAGTAACTTTACAGAATAATTTCAGCTTCTTAAATCCACAAACTCTTTCTGTCTGGTTTGAATCAGAGCAAGTGATGAAATCTAGATAGACCAGTATATTGAGAGTTGAGTGCAATGCTCTCATTATTGCTAATAAGCATCAACCAGTCTGGCCATCTCACACCCCGTTCTGTCATTTTTTTATTGAATACTATACCAAGATACCTTAACTTCTCACTTTGAGGTGGAAATGTATGCTAAGACAGTGGAAAGCATCATTCTTCCTTTACTATTTCAGAATGTCATGTCATCCAGTTTAACTGTTTTACTGAAATACGAGGGAATACGAGACAAAGACAAGATAGGAAATATGTAGTGTGAATATTAAAAGGTAAAATCCAGAGAGCTGATCCTTCTGATTTGTCAATGATTGCTTAATGATTGGGACTGCAACAAGTTTAAGCTTAACTTCACTTTAACAAGCTGACAGATAAACTCTCAGCTGCGTTATGTGTTTTGTTTAAAACTGCAAGAGGTTTGGTGGTTAACCAAGCAGATATATTTCCACAATGTACACATAAGGGTCTTGAATCAGTGCAAATAGCTCCGTACATGTGGCTTTCATACAACACAGTCCTGTGTCGCTTTTCTGACTGGTAGCAATTATTACAATACATTTCTTAAAGTTGCTTAAAAGAACACAATAACATAAACAGACGGGAAACATAAAGGAGCTTAATCAGTGTAAATCACACCCCAAATGTGGCTTTTATAAAATACAATACAAAAGAGAGACTTTAGCATTCTATTTAGCATGGTGTTTTATAAACGGCAAACACTTAAGTGCCTGTGACCATAATAAAAACAAATTTCCAGGTCTCATAACGCTTACAGTAGCAGCCATTCAAAATGGTCCTTCCTAGCCAAACGCCAGCCGAAGCAGAAAGAATATTTTAGTACAAATTTTGATGTTTAAAAAGGAATTGTATGGGACCAGCCAAGGTCCCGTCAAGTAAAGTTGGAAACATTTGAATGGCTACTACTGTATCTTCACTCATGCTCCACAGTGAGACTGACAGTGATTACACTACTTTGGCTACCAGCATACAAGGAACTAAACAGAGAGGAGCAACTATTTCTGCATTACACTGACTCATAATACAAGTAGAATCATACAACATAAACCCGGTTACATTAGTAGAGTCCAAAGATGTTTTGATGGCTGTGTAATGAGTAGTATTCTAATGTGGAGTAGATGGTGAAGCCTTAAAAGACAGACAGGTCAAGCTTTTGGTTTCTTTGGAGAGAGTAGCCTATATGATCGACAACACAAAGAGCCCATTCACATGGAGACAAGATTAGGTGTAACCGTGAAGATATTTTTTCATTGTAGCTGTGTATCCCAACTAAGCTGGGGTTTTGGGACAGTGATTACTTTTGAAACTGAGAAAATCAGTGAAAGCCTGTTTCATCTTCCAGCATGTACACATAAGCTGCACCTTTTTTTATTTTATATATTTTTTTTTAACAATGATGTAGTTCAACCTACCTCATGTAAGATGCAACTGTAACATGCACCTGTTTACCCCTATGCTGCTGTCTTCAGCTCTCATGAGCCGTCTGTGCATACCCAGTGTTATTGTCAGGGGTTTGAGTTTTATTCCGTGTTTGAGTCACAGCACCACCAAAGCATGTATACTACAATGTCTTTATTGATGGTGTGTACACTGTGGACACCACTTTTTTTTAAAGTCGTTAGGGAAAATATAGCATGTTTGTCTTTGTGTGGACTTTACCTAAGTCTGAGGTGCTTCCAGCAGTGCATCCTGAAGGGCAATGCAATGAGGCAGATCCAGGAAAGAAATCTGTTGGTAAACTGAGACAGAGGAAGAGAGAGTGTGGTTACCATTGTCATGATCGGTTTAAGGAATCTGACCCACATGCAGAGAAACCACTCAGAGAACACGGGGAGAAGTTTAACAGGTTTGTTTGATGTAATGTATACAGAAGTAGGATCTGGAACTCAGTGAACTGGTGAACCGGAACAGGAAAGTCTGAAGGGGAGATCACAGAGATCAGTTCGGGGACCGTAGGAAATTTGACTGCGGCTTGAATAATGCTGGACAGGGACTCATGTTTGAGGGGGCTCTTGTCAATCCTTGAATCCAGTCAGTGTGGGGGTAATCCAGAGAAGGGGGGGACTCGTTGGAGACAGGACAGGTAGACATTTGTTGGACCCAGAGGAGTAATGGAGCGGACTGTCACTTGGATTTCCGATGGTAACTTGATCGGATCATGTGGAGGTTTTCCCCTGCTCAGTGTATTCTCAGTATTTCCTTCCAGGGGGAGAAGGTCCAGGCATTCAGTTTTCACAGGAAGGCTTCCTGTCGAAGAGCAAAGACAAAAACACATTAAAGTCGGATAAACAAAGCTAGGTTAGACTCTGCTAATCTCAGCTTGGCTAGAGTACCCAAAACTGGCAAACACTCTGGCGTCGAGGTAGTGATAGCCCACTGCTCAAATACTCCATCAGTAAAGAACCCACGAGCCGCAAGGGTGCAGGGAGGCCCAATGAGGACAGGGCACCACCTGGTGGTGGAGAGAGAAGAAACACACAAACAACCCACACAAACTGGATTTCTAACAACCATTAATGAAGTAAATAACCACTTGGAAGCAAACTAAATCATGTCATGAAAGGCCAGAGGTAACAGTTGGGTTGACACTCAGGCATCTTTATCTACCATCTTTTTAACACTGAAACTGATGATCTTGAAAAGCAGGCACTTGGGAGTGTACTGCTCACCACCACAGAGAAATCATGACAAAACACAAAACATTCTGATTCCTGACAAGTGAGCACCAAGCAGTTTTCAAAGCACACAAGCAATATCTAGAAGTTGGCTAACAAAATGTGTATAATTATCAACACAGATTGGGATTGATGTCTATATCAAGGTTATTCAACTGGTTTAACCAAGCCTGGCTTGTTTTAGTCTAAAATGAGTTTTCACAATTATCACATTTTATAGTTATAGGTACATTTTTCTGAGCTTCATATTCCCATAAACAAACTGTTAACCATTGTGGAAAGCATTGCCCCCCCCCCAAAAAAAAAAAAAACATGGAGGTAAACTTTATGGAATTAGAAGAGAGGTGACTCAAATTTATATGAGACAAACAAAAAACTGGGTAAAAAAACAGCTGTAAATGAGACAAAAGACCTTAAAATTTATATGATCTTCAGTTTCAACATTTCATACTAAAAAAGTTTCACCTTCAGAACGTATTTATCTATACTGAAGTTTGGACAAAATCTCTCCAAGTGTTAATATTATTTCTGTTAAATCTTCATTGGAATCTGTACTTTTTTATAAAAGCTTAGTGTGTTTGTAGAATATGCAATGTATTAATCATTTCAAAAAAGAAAGACTACTTTTTCTTGTGTTATCTAAATTGCTTGATTGCTTAAGCATTCATAATGTCATTATAAAAAGGTTGATTTTTGCTTTGTTTAGGTGAAACTTCTTTAATCTTGATCACTTGTCCTTGCAGTTATTTTATAGCTGAAAAGTATTTCAGAAGGTGTGTAATGCTTTGCTGTTCAAAGAATCACACACAGTTTTTTCCTGATTATGTTGTATTATGATCCTACCATTTTGTTATCCTTTCAAGGTCCTCAAAATACAAGAAATACATTTTTTTCTAAACCTTAAAGGCCTTCAGAAGGTCTGGAATGTATACAGAGTACAATTGTTTTTTGATCATAGGCACCAGTTAGCAGTTAGCAAATACTGTTTATCAATAAAATCTCTTACTAATAACTACCAATGAATGCAGCAGTCTCAGATCTAACAAAATATCTAAAAGGCAGATTGATAAAAGTTTGAATTCAGGGATTTTAACCAGAGTTTTCACAGAACACAGTCACAAGTTATACTATATAAAAGAAGAAATAAAATACAACCTTATTACAATAAAATAAACCTTTTACAGAAATATACGTTATTACATTTAAAACAATGATCAAAACTCTTATGGACACCAAAAAACACAACTTGTCTATATCCTAGACTTTCAATTATTATAGAGTTGCATTGTGACTGGCTAAAAATTGGTCTGGTTTTTAGGGCCCTGGATTCAATTCCAAAAATAGCTTTTTTTCCCGCATTGAGTTTTCATTTTCTCTTTATTCCCTCTCACTAATCAAGCTTCCTCCCACAGTCAATAGCATGCATGTTAGGTTAACTTGTCTTTCTGAAGGTCTGAGTGGGTGGGCGCCTGGTTGTCTGACACAGACATCATGCGCCAAAAACAGATGTTAGGAAAGGTGTCATCTACTCACATCATGACTTTCCTCAACTCACTAAATTGGGGGTTCATACAGTAAAACATATTCAACGCAAAGTTGTTTTTATTTTTCTTTATTTGTGAGCAAAGCCTCCTAGACTGTAGTTACGTATTTCGTCAGTCAGTTCTTGCTTCTTTCAAATGCATCTGTGCTTATCCATGGAAAACAGATAAAGAAGACATAAGAGGAACCATCAAAATGAAGGAGCAGTCAAACAGCTGTCCTTAGGGAAAAAGTAAAGTGCTAATGATGCCAATCACCACTATAGCCAATATATTAAACCATGTTTGACTAAAGCAGAGGCCGATAACCAGTATCTTTTATAGGTGAAATAAAAGTACCAATACCGAGACATGAGATTTTCTGATAAAAAGCTGATGATTTAACTTGATGACAAACGCACAAAGTAACTGGGGTTACGCATCAATGTCATTTTTTATTTGTTTAACGTATTCTTTTTTCTTTCTCCTCTGCTTAGTGATAAGTTGAGAGCATGCGCAGGTTAGACTTCTGAATTTGGAAAATTAGGGCTGCAATTAATGATTATTTGGCTAATCGATTTATCTGTGTTTTTTCAATTAATAACCGGATAGCAAAAGGTTCGTTGAAGTAGATTTTTTTAAAGAATAAAAAAAAAGTGAAACTAGAGCTTGTCCACTTGACAACTTTTTTATGTTATATGCAAAATATTTATCTATTTTTAATCATTGCTCTATCTCTTTGCTCTGTCAGCTAAAAGCATGTTTTAGAGTCTCTATAGTCTGATTAACAGTTAATTGATTACTAAATGAATATTATGGTATATTTTTCAAAGTAACGGACAACCCAAAGCAAAAAGATATTCCATTGTAGATCCTTTAGTGAACAAAGAACATAATGTTCACAATCTCCAGAGAACAGAAGCCAGTTGTTGGCACAGAACCT